GATTACTAAAATCCTCCGGTGTATAAACACACGGATTATTAAAGTAGTCGTTTAGAAGTGAATCGTGGGCGGCCGCTCGATCCCGGTTAAGACGTTGGCGTCGGGTCCGTCGTCGGGAGGATTCGGCTTCTTCTTGGCCATCTTCCCACCATTGAATACAATTCGTCGCGAAACAACGAAAAAATAAAGCTCTTCTTTCATCGTCGGAAGATGAACCCATTTTTAAATTATATTTTATAAATATTTATAATAAATAATAAATTTTTTTGAGAGAATATATAGTAATAAAGAGAGATTTGTTAGAGAGAGGTGTGAGGAAGATGTATGAGAAGGGGGGATTTTATAGGTTTTTTTTTAATTGGGGGGGGGGGGGTAACGGCATTATAGCCGTTGGGAAGAAAAAACGGCCCTCACGCCGCGTCATTCGTTTGACGCAGGCGCCCTCACGCCCTTTTCACGCCGGCGGGGGCGGTGTTTCACACCCCCGGGGCGTTAAACGCCCCGTAACGCCGGTGGGCGTGAAGGGTATTACCAGTGCTCTAATGGACTGAACTTGAATGTTCCTAATGAATTGGTACACATGAAGCCATATTCTCTTCACTTATCTGATTGGTTCTGATCTGATATGTAATAAAATCTGATTTGATATGAATGTAGTTATACATAAAGCTATTTCTGATCTGATCTAATTTCAAAAGGATTAAATAATAGGTAAAAAATAGTAAATTTCATAAATGCTGCTCAATTATATACATTTTTCCATATTTAGTCACCAATTATAAGATATTCTATAAACAATCCTCAATTTTTGAAAACTATTCCATAAATAATCCTTTCCATCAAATATGACAAAATATTTTGAGTAAATTCTCAAAATGATCCTTTTTAATAAGGCTTTTCCCAAAACAACCTTAAATAAGCGAAAATTACTAACGTGATTTCCTGGATACTCCTTTTATAATTGATATGCGTTTCTTAAACACTCTTTATAATTAGGATGTGTTTCCCACTTAATTTAAAAAAAAATCATTTTGAGGACTTATTCATAGTTTAGATAATAAAAAGCAGCAAAATACTCTTTATTTAACTGTCATTTAATAGAATGTTTTTTATAAAGGACTATTAATGAAACACATCACAATTATAAATGATCACATTAGTAATTTTTAGAAAAAATTTTATTAGAAAGAATCATTTTGAGAATTTACTTAAAATATACCGTCATATTTAGTTAAAAGAACTATTTGTGGAGTGGTTTTCAAAAATTGAGGACTTTTCATGAAATATCTCATAATTGGAAACTAAAAACTACATAAAATCTCAAAATAAAATAAAATAAAGAAATATTTACACTAAATAGCATTAAAATTTAAGTCATTTCATTAGAAAGCATTTCAATTGTTTTATTTCTTAAATATCCCTGTCCTGGAAGAGAAAATAATAACCAGTGATGATGAACATTTACTTGAATAATAACTAAAAGTGCTATATTGCAAAAAACACATATAATACTATTTAGGGAAAAAACACATATAATACTATTTACTTCCAATAAAAATTGGGGCTCTTATACTCGACATCTTCATCTTCTTCTCGCTTCAGCAACCTTCTGCTCCACCAATAGCCGTTCGCAATCGCCGTTCACCATCGTCATCTTTGCCGCTTCTTCGTGCATGCGCGGCAGACCAGGCGAGAGAGAGGGAATCGGCCGGAATTCTTATTCAATCCGAGAGTTGTATTCTTGGATTAATTGAGGTGAGTAGTTGTTCATATATCTTGTGTTAGAATAAATTTGTAGTTTAGAACTTCATTGATGTATGTTCTTGCAATTTGAATGTGAATTGGTTGATTGGTTGTTGGATTCGGGTAGGAGCATGTTTAGGAATTGATTTGGGGTTGGTTGGGTTGGATTTGCTACTGTTTTCCGGCGCGGCTGCCGGGGGAAGGCGCTGTTCTGGCACTGCTGCTTCGTTAGTAGCATCGCTGGGCTGGGCAGCGGCCTCACTGGGCTGGCAGTGGGATCAGCAGGGCTGGGTTGGTTCAGGCAGGGTGTCGGGCTGGCCCGGTGGTGGTGGCTGTCTCGGTGGGAACAGCAGGTCCTTGATTGAAATCTCGATCTCGAATTTGCATTGTGATAGTTGACAGGTAATTCGAATCAATTGTAATTGTGTTATATTATGTTGATTATGCATGATGGCAATTGGAGGGCTATTGAGTTCTCGATAGACTGCTATTTGATATGATTGTTTCTTTGAATTGTGACATGAACTCAATTGAGCTTATTGGTGATGGATTCTTAATTATGAGTTGGGAATTGAGGAATAGGTCACCTAGTATTCCTAGTCAAATCTGAACTGAATTGAGTACTGAATCAACAAGAGAAGTTGTTAAGAATCAAGCTATGTGAGTCTTGAGTGCATACTCAATGGCCTAGGATTAAAGTCTGCGACCTGCCTTGATACCTCATTGGCAGGGGCTTCAACCTGCCCTTTGGAGAGCTCAATTGGGTTTGAGCTTGCCCTCTCGATACCCCTCGAGTGTCCATGACTATAGTTGATTGATTTAGCTTTAGCCGTCATAGGATAATACTAATGGTAGGTGATTATGCTATCAATAATGATGTTGCTACTTATTTGCATGATATTGCATGATGAAATATTTGCACTAAATAGCACTAAAACTTAAGTCATTTTCCTAAATAGCACTTAAACTGTTTTATTCCCTAAATAGCATTTAATAATGTCCAATGATGGCGAATATTTGCTTGAATAATGACAAATGCATAATGACTAAAAGTGCTACATTGAGAAGAAAAACACATGTGATGCTATTTGGGGAAAGTCATTATGTTTTAGTGCTATTTAAGTAAATTCCTCATTGCATGATTGTATGTGAATGTGGTGCTACTCTATGATCACTACTACAAAAAGGACTTTAGAAAGTGGATAAATAAGGCTTTTCCCATCGCAAACTAACCGTTGTCTATACAACCGATGGGAAAGGTCTCATGTTTACACAACGGATACTTACCCGCTGTGTAAAGTTTACATATCGAATATTTATCCGCTTTGTAAACGTAAGACCTTTCTCATCAGTTGTATAGACAGCGGTTGTTTTGCACTTTACATACAGAATATATATATATATATATATATATATATATATATGGGATTGACTCAAAGATGTAGTTGTTAGATGACATGCTACGGTCAGATGACGCAAAGCTCACCACTGGTCACTGCAAAGCTCACCAAACTCTAAGGTAAAGTTCACCATATTTTTTCAAGACTTTGAATTTTTTTTTAAAAAAAAAAATAAAATCAAAGGAAGGGGTGCTGACTACATTTTGACCGTTGACCGCCACTTGCCGCCGCTACTCCGCCACCGCGCCGCCGCTACTCTGCCACCGCGCCGCCGCTGACCGGTGGTTGACCGGTGTTGCTATTTTATTTTTAATTGATTTTTTAATTTTCAAAATTTTTTAAAAAAGTGAGTTTTAGTGTTCAAAGTGGTGAGCTTTGCTTTATTTACAGGTGAGCTTTGCATTGCCCATTAGTGAGCTTTGTAGTGTAGTGTGATGAGCTTGATGTCATCTCACCAAAGCATGTCATCTCCCCGTAAGGGGTCTATATATATATATATATATATATATAAGAATGCATCTCGTGCATTAGAGGTAAGATCTAAGGGCTGGAAAAATTAAAAGTAATTTGATAAAATCTGAAAAAACGCGATGACATTATGGTAAATAAGTTGAACTGTACTCCCAGTGCCGAAAATGCACTACCACAATGTAAAAATACATCGTGACAACATAAAAATACATCATTCTCAAGATAAGTTCTATTGTCACAGTAAAGATCATTCTCACTTGAACCAACCCCTGGATATATATATATATATATATATATATATATAATGAAAATGGTATTTATTTATCGAATAAAAGGAAGAGTTACATCTGCCGTAATGTTAACGAAGGTGGGAATGGTGGAAAAAGAAATACAAGTTGAAATAAGGTTATGTTTGTTGCTCCATCTTGCTAAGCTATGTGCTCCCAAATTGCCCTCTCCCGGAATGTGTTTGATTGTGGTGCCGTGTTGTTGTGATGCGTCTGAGAGACGAAGGGGAGGACCAAACCGAGCCCTTTAGAACAAAAATGAAAAGAAAAGAAGAGAAAAAACCTACAACAATCTAAAAAAGCCAAATCCAATGCTAAATACAATCACCTTAGCCTACAACCAGCAAAATAGAAGCCAAGGTTCACCATGAAAAATGCCATTATCCCACTTTAATGCCTCTGAATTTTAATGCCATTATCCCACTTTAATGCCTCTGAATATGCAAAAATCAAAACTGCTATGGTGAATAGTGTTGCGAACGAATGACTCTGTGGGTGATGTTTTCCATAGCAATAAAGTGGAGCATCATAGGAAAGATGGAATTTTAAATCATAGCGAGGAGGACAATGATGAGCCTATAGAGGAGAACTTGTACGATAGTCACAGTTCGGTGCTACTAGAAGCAGACTACATCATCCAAACAAAGGGCCTTGGCAGTAGTATTCATGCTAAGCAAAAGAATTTATATTCCAAGAAGAAAAGGCGTAAGAAATAGGTAATCTAAGAACTACCTCCATATTTGATTTTAGGGCTCATAGTATCTATACATGGCTCTTAAGGCACTATAGGCAATATACTTGTCTCCTTAGCATGTACTCTGTGTTATAAGGGTCTTTGTATTGCTATGATGGGTTCACTTGATGGTTTGGGTTTTGAACTTAGTGTGGCTTCATAGGTTTAGCATGCTAAAAGATGTTTGTTGGTTGATCTTTATATTCTATCTTGTTTGGAACTATGCATGGCCTTTAAAATTTTCAAGATGTTCATCTTGCTGAAAGGTTGCCAGTTACTGCCTCAATTCAGAGGCATTAAAGTGGGATGATGGCTGCTGGTCTAGTTACGGTTCTGCTAAAAATGTTACTAGGTCTTGGACTACTTTTGTTGATGACTAGGATTTTGGAGTTTTTTATTTTGAGGCTTCAAAGTTGGATAATGGCACAAGATTTTTGCTTCCGGATGTCTAGAACATTAAAGTGGGAACATAAGTCACCATAGCAGTTTTGATTTTTGCATATTTGCAACCTCGAGATGCTATCCCAAAGATGGCCTGCCTGTTTTCAACAACTTTTGTATTTGTTAGGAATAAGAACCCAATAAGATATGTATTTGAACATAAGTCATAAGCATCAAGTGAGAAATAGAGTATTGAAAGTACACTCATGGGATTTATTCGATTGTTTTCATCATTAATTCATTATATGTGTGTGTGTGTGTGTGAAATAATAGGGTATGGGTTGTGCCTAATGTTGGCTCCCCACTTGACACTCATTGACAGAACTACAAAAGTTGGCAAACAAGCAATTGTGTGTTGAGTGTGAATAAAAAAATATGGCGGGGAAATCATCTCAGCTTTAACAAAAAGAAATTAAGTCAACCAAGGAAATCTAGCACTAAAACTGATCGAAGTCATGATCTCAAAAGTAGATCATGTGCATTAGGAATGGTTAGTGGTCAATCTCATTCTTTCGCACTCAATCAAGCAGAATGCATAGCAGTTATGTCCAATGTACTGCAGCAAATTTTGGAAACTTCTCTGAAAAGTAGTTAAGGTTGAGTTGTCATTTCTTTTTTAGGTCATGTGTGATTTAAGAGCCTTGTGCACTAGATTTAGGCATTTGTTTTGATTGTCTACTCCCTCTAACCCATTTAAAGAATCATGTTTCACAAAGGCACCACTTTCAAATTTTTAGTTAGGCATAACTCTTGGAAATCATAAATGTGGCTATATTTTATCTTTTTTGAAATTAACTCACCCAATTTGACTATGATCCTAGAAAACATATACTTCGTATAAACAACAATAATAAGATTTCTAGTTCAGATGCTCATGTCCCAACTAAACCATGTAGCAAGAATCAAAGCTTCATTCTGCTTATAGAAAATTAAAGTATAGCAGAAAATCCTAGCAATTAAGAAAAAAATAACCTTGGAGAAGTATCATGTCAAAAAAGAGATCACTCTCAGTGTTTCTTGGGAACATGGCCTCGCAACAACCCACCAAAAGAATTTCTCCTTCTCACTATGTTAACAAAAGCCCACTCTAAAAAATCACAACTATACACCAAGTGATATTTACTACTCCGTACTATTCTAGAACTTCAAAGGCTAGCCTTTCTTAAGTCAGCTTTGAAGACTTCTTTACCTAACTTGTCCTCTAGGCATTCATAATTCTTAGATATCGACTTAGAAATAGCAAGACTACAACATTAAAAACAGAGGCGGACCCATGTTGAGTCCCACGGGGTCCCGGGACCTCACGGACCTCCACGTAGGATTTTAGATATGTTAGGTACTCTGTTATTATTAGTATATATAGGTCTAAAAAACCGCTATGGCAATGAGTGTCGAAGCAGTGCATTGGATGCGCAGCTGACTTTTGAGATGTGGGATCCAGATTTCGAATTTCCTCACCTCCTTATTTTTTTGTTCATTTTATTGAGTTCAATTTTTTCTTCAAGTACTTTACAAAAACATTTTTATTGTCATATATTTAATTATATTTTTTCAGGCAGTATTTTTTTGTATTATTACCTATTGCACATTAGAATTTCAATTTAAATGAATACTCAGGATACAACAACAACAACCCAGTTAAATCCCACAAGAGTAGGGTCTGGGGAGGGTGTGTGTACGCAGACCTTGCCCCTACTCGAAAGTAGAGAGGCTGTTTCCAAAGAGACCCCCGGCTCAACGTCAAAAGTTGCATTGCTTGACTAACTGCTACTTCATTAATTAAAGAAGCGCAGACAGTTTAGAGATCCATTTTGATTTATTCCATCACACCCCAAATACTCAGGATATTAAATAATTATTAATGTTTTTCCAATTTGACGATCAAACTATCTATATGCACGTGCTATTTAAATCTGTTTAGTTTAATTCTTTTATGAGTGCTTTCAAAATTTAGTGGAAATAAAAATTGAAATGAGAACCTCCAATCTACTCAAATCATCTTCATCCTCATACTTTAGTAATAAACAACGAATACAATTTTGATCTCATTCCTCATTGTTACAAGAAAACCTAAAAATATACTTCGTAGTATAAATTTATCTTGAATGTAAAACATTAAAACTTCAAACTTGCACTCTTTGCGGTTATTTACAATACTGTGTGTTTAGAATATATTGATGCATGCAAAGAGTTTACAATTTTTATTGCGTTTTTACAAGTATTTTTCCCTAAAAAATACCTAAACAACTCTATGTTTTGTTTTATTTGTATTCATTTTACAATTTACTTTCATTTTTAAGGTGTGATACTCAAGAATTATGGATGTGTCTAAATCTTTTGTTCTAATTCAAGGTTTTTGACAACAAAAAAATCATTATATCCAATTACTAAATTTTATCAATAGAAAATTGTCAGATATAGAAGTTATGACTTTGAAAATTCCATTTGAGAATCATATTTTGAATGTTCATTTTAATAGTAGATTTTTTATAGCGTGAGAAATGAGAATAGTCACGTAGTATAAATTTATGTTCATAATTTAAGAAAAAGGACCCCATGTTTCTCGATTCCTGGATTCGCCTCTGATTAAAAACAACACAATTGAGGAGAGAGTAAAGGAAACCATGTATATGGAGGAGATTGAGAGCGCTGCGACAGCGGTAGATGGTCAGAAAGCAATAACAATGATAGAGAGACCAAATAAATAGCAGCTCGTTGTGCATCTCCTCCAAATGTGCTTGACGCTCTCTTCTTCCTCTCTAATCGTCTCTGTTGGTTGAACGCATGGAGCACAAGAATATAGATTTAGGGTTAATGAAATTGGTGATGACGGAAAGACTTTAAATTTTAGACAGTGACTAAAGAAAACTTTGCTACTTAAACAGCTAAAAACACTTCCCATATCCGCAATTTTTACAAAGTTATTAGAAGCCCGAGAATTGTATACGTTTAACGTGAAATAACGAAACCCGCTCTTAAAAGCCCGATGGGAAAACCTGTATTTGTAGTAGTATCTCTCTCAGCTTTCAGCTTAGCGTGTAGTCTTTGACTACACGGAGATAGGGACCAAGGATTGGATGAGCAGCCCGACGGTCAGTGATGTTTGGCAACATAGATGGCTTGCTTATTTAATTCTTTATACTTGTTTACTTAAATTGCAAGAATGTTTTGAAATGTTATTTTGAAGGCTTCCGCAAATGTTTAGATTTGTTACTCCGATTAACTTGTGTTTTAGATTACTATGAAGTATGAATGGATGATTTACTTAAAATGTTTTAAATTTACTCTCATGTGGATACTAATTAGTGGCAATCTGGTTCGTTAATTCGTTTATTCGCGTTACGCGGGTTGCAGTGTTACTCTCATTTTTCAAATTTTAAAGTTTGACAATTTTTGTGTGCTCTTTCAAGATATTTGTGTCAATCAGTCAATCTATAAAAATATAACTTTTGTAGTGTTGTTTTGGGAAAATAATTGTAATGGATTATCGGAAAAACATTTTTACTGTCTTTTCCATGAAAAATTAGTACTTGGATAATGTTATTTGGCAAAAAAAAAAACACTAGAAAAGTAATGTTTAGTTCCCCACTTTGGAGGAAAATATTTAGGAAAAACATTTATAGTACGAAAATTGCAAGGATTCACAGAAAAATACTAATGTCACTTTTGAAAACAATTTTATGTAGTACTAGAAAACCTGTACTGAATTGTCAAAAAAATTAGTTCCATTTTGGGAAAAGAATTATTTTTTCAATGACTCATTTGAAAAAATCATGAAACATTTAAAAAGTTGTGAAATTGGTGTCGTAGTTTTTTTTATGTTCTAGGAAATAATTAGATTGAACTATCGGAAAAAATTGCACTATATTGTTTTGCACTACAATCTTTTCTTTGAAACGAAACTAAATAACTTTTTTGACGACACACTATAAAATATTTTCTCAAAATGTTATTACAAATTATATTTTCGATAATTCGTTACTCTTTTTCTCAAAATGACACTATAAAAAAGTTGTGATATATTTTAAAAAGACTGACAAAAATCTTCAAAAGAGCGTTCTTTAATATTTTTAGAAATATAATTTTAAATTTAAAAACTTAAAAAAAATTAAAAAGAAAATTTACCTGAAATGATCTTAACTTTATATCTTTGTGTTGAGTTAGTCTTTTTTAGAAAAACCATTAGATCACTGTTGTGGTAAATTCTTACATAGTCCTAAGGTCCATCCTCTATGGACCTTAGTGCATTGATATCACAAAAAATTGAGCCTTAAATAAAGATTCACTTGTCAGCACATGAGAAGTGTGAGAAAGTCCACATTCCACATGTGGACCTTACACCATGAAAGAACAACTCCACCATTGCATATCTAACGGCAACCTAAAATGGAGACACGTGAAAAAATCGAATTATCACGTGTAACATTAAAAGGTAAAATTATTTTTAAAAGATGGCATAAAATTAGATTATTTCACATAATTTTTCCAAAAAAAATGAGAGGGAGAGATTAATATACTCAAAAAAGCAGCCTCGCAGAGAGTGAAGATTAGCCGCCGCGCCTCCACTTCTCAGGGGCCACGCCGACTTGTCTGACCACCGTGCCAGCACTGTTCCAGGAGTCTTCAGTTCGCCGGGAATCTCATCCAACGAGGTAAGTAATCAACGTCAATTTTGAATTGATTTTTTTTAGTTTGCATTTGATGTTCTAATTTACTGTATACTCCGTATTTGATACTCCATATTTTTTATTTATATTGTATATGTTTAGTTGTGTAAAATGTATCATGTAAAATGTGTATTCCATTTGTATTTTCAGAGTTTTATTTCCGATTTTTGGCTTTTCAATTTTCATAATTGATTCTTGATAGTTGGTTACTCTGTATTTAGTAAAGTAATAAAGTTTAAGGTCCATGGTGGACCTTCATATAAGCTAGATATAAGCCAAATGAGCATACTTACTTCTAAGATAAACATTTTTAAAATAAATAGGTAAATAAATAAAAATTTGTGGGAGAAGGTCCAGGTGGATCTTCTAGACCTTAGGTCCATGATAGAACTTCTTAGTTGGTGATGGTTCAAAGTAGATTAAATTTCACAATTGATTCTTGATAGTTGATTATTTAGTACTTCGTATTTTTTAAAAAGACTAAGAGCTTATGTTGATAGTTTTCAATTGTGATTAATAGTTCTCTTTATTGATTTTTAATTCTCTCTGGCTAGTTGTTTTTTAAACATATTTTTTCATTTATAATTATTTGATTCAAATACAACAATAGTTTTTGATACATTGGGTAAATGATTTATTGTAATTTAGGATACATTGATATTTCAAAAAACAACCAAAGTTTAAGAATCTTGAATCTAATCAAAGTGTTTCTGATTTGAATTCAAATGCGCCTTCGTTTTCAACCATATCATCAAAACTAGTTGTTCTTTCCGAATCTATCTTGGATGTGAAACAATATGTAAAAGACATAGTCACATAAATCGCGGTACGCTTCGGTACGGGTACGCGGTACGGGTACGAAATTCGCTAGAGGTAAAGAATTCGGTACGAAGGGGGGTAGGTTCATTTCGGTACGAAGTGGTACGAAGCGGTACGGACGTACGGTGTACCATGTATTCGGTTCGGTGTACCAAAAGTCAAAACATAAGTTTTGCCAAAAGCCATTGAAAAAAGAGAGAAAAAATTACTGGATATTGAGGACTTTAGATTGGGTTGTGGTTACTGGTTAGACTTGAGAGACATATATATATATATATATATATATATATATATATATATATATATATATATATATGGAGACTGCCTTGGAAAAAACGAAACATTAAGGGGAGAAGTCAGAGAACAATCGAGAAACGCACGGAGACTATGAACGACTCGCACGGAACTTGGGGAAGTGCAATCGCGAATTGACCTTTTCAGTTTACGGAGAGAACAATCGCTTGGAAGAGGGAAGGTCGCGGGAGAGACGAAATTGCGATTTGGATCGCTGGACCGCCGGCGATTGGTACTCCATATTCTCCGACTTGGTGCGACGTTCTAGGGCATCTGGATCGCCGGAGAATTGCGAATTGGAGCGCCGTACCACACCGATTTGGATCGCCGTACCGGTGGCGATCGGATCGCCGGCGACTTGCGATCCGGTACGATTCGTACCAATTCGGAAATCGCGGCTAGGTAAACGAATTCTGTAACTATGTGTAAAACACAAAATTTGGATTTTTTTAATATCTGCAGTAATATATGACACATTTTAACTAAACACCATATTTTCTTCTATATAAAATATGAAAATTTCCACATTTTCATCTAAATGTGTTTTAGAAGTATTGTTTTTCTTTAAAGGTATTTAGTTTTCTCAATAAGGTTTTCACCTAAAGGCAAGCTATTTGTGCTCTTAGAGAATTACTATGTTCAAAGGTAAGTATTTTGTGCAATTTATTGCTCACTGAAAATAATAGTTTTCCATGTGCATCACACTTCTATTAAAAATTACATGTTTGAGTCATTGCTCACTGAAAGTAGTGGATTTCCATGTGCATCACTCTTTTATTAAATATTCTGTAGACTCTAAATGTTCCAATTAAGTGAAATAATTATTAAAATAAATATTCAAAGTTATTAGCGATCCGTCAAAATCCTCCTTGGAAGTTAGATATGTTCCAATTAAATTCAAACACTATATTTTTCTGCATTTTCATTTTCAAGATTTCATTTTTTTTTGCACATAAAACACACACTTTATTACCAAAACAACCGTCTAGACAGGTTACATCAGATGTAACTTCCAACTACAAACACTCACTACATACTACAACACATTTATATATTCTAAGTAGTTTCTTATATAAGCTATAGCTTGTTGAGTAGGCATCCCAGTATCTCCTCTTTGCTGGTGCATTTTGACATTCCTCCACCTCCAGATTTGATAAACACAAGTAGCCCATACAGCAATCCACTTTTTCCTTTGTTTCCCTCCTGGTATCTTATGCACTGCCCTCCCAAAACCTTCAACAGATCCCTCATAGCTTTGCATATTGAAGTCCTTCATCACTAAAGCAGCCAAAGATTTAGATTCCTCACATTGCCAGAAAAGGTGCTCTGCCGTTTCTGTCTCTCTACCACA